AGCAGAGAAGAGAAAAGCAGAGCAGAGCAGAGCAAACAAAAGCATGAAACCAAGAAACAGGGAACCCAGCATTAGATAAATGAAAAGAGTCTCCAGGATGATGATGAAGTGAGATGGCAGGACCGCAGACACCCTGGAGGGCAACTTGACCCGTCTTGCATCGACATAGCTCAGTAACGGGCACGGTGAGGTCCCTTGCTGCTTGGTCCTCAGGCTTCATACAATCTTCTCTCACCTTTAGAAATATTCGATGTTGTGTTCTACCAAAAGAGGAAACACAAGAAAAAAGGCCAGAGATTCAAGAAACAGGCACTGCAAACCAAGAGAAAGGCAGAGTGTTTCCACGATGACAACAAATGGAAGTCCCCAGACATTAGTTAAACCGCAGGCCTAGAGAAAAATCAGCTCAAATAAGGACATGGCGATCTCTGGTAAGGAGCTTTCCAGGAAAAAGAAATTACAGTTGCTAATATTATGTTATGAAACCAACCTTGTAGAAATTCTATGGAGGGGAGCCAGCAGGTGGCGTAATGGTTATGTCACTAGACTGTGACATAGTCAACAGAGGTTTGAAATCCGGATACGGTGGATTAAAACTCATGTCGGGCACGTGTGCGTGCATGCCCAAGATCCTGAGAGGACAATGGAGGAGAAGGGATTGTGGCATGGACATCCCCCTGGGGGGTAATTTTCACTTTCTGTCTGTCTCTCCAGTGAGTTTACTATAGCAAAAATCTCTCTTAAAAAAAAAAAAGAAAAGGAAATTTTATGAAGGGACTATTTGAAAGTATAGGAAGATTAGCTATAATAATAATGAAAAGTAATAAAAGGCAGGCCAGCTCCATACTGCAGTGGTTAGGCAGGGCTTTGGGAGCAGGTTCCCACGTGGTCAACTGCGGTTCAAGCCCCAGACGTGGTGGCTTGAGAAACATGCGAGGCAACAAATAGAACTTGAACTGCTTCCCTCTAGAAGAGGTAAAAGGCGCCCTGACAGGATGGAGAAATGGAAGGAGGGGGAATGAGGCATGGCCATACTCCATTGGCGGTTCTCTC